ACCAACTCCAAGGGGTAAATCCAGGGGCAGAGTCCCTGCATAAGGGTTTTGCAGTCAGAGAGCGAGTTGCCAACACCCAGCAGAATTTCCAAGCAGCCAAAGTCCAGAAGCAGAACTGAGCAGGGCCAGAAGGCAGAGGACTAAGCCCAGGATTCGGAGGGGCCGTACCACAGCAGACCATCAGGCAAAACTGTTGGCTGGCCTGCAGTTTGCAACCACAGGTAGAACTACACGGGGAGACTGCTGTCCCCAGCAGCCCATCCGGAAACTGTAGCTGATTTATCAGCTTGGATGTGGATGCTAGGTAGAACCTCAGGCAAATTTGGCCAATTAAGCAATTAGTCCTGGCTGGACTGCCTCTTAGGGCCCCAGACAACAAGTTTTAGACCCTGGTCTTGTCTTTAGGTACCCATGCATAAAGTTAAGCAGGTGCATACACAGGGTTTTAGTCTGAAATGGTGCTTGTACACGTGTCAGGGGTTTAATCCCCAAGGTTGCAGTCTATGCCCCCTAAACTGAAATGGTGGGTTTTTCACTGAAACCCACCATTTCAATTTTTCCATCACATCATGGTGAGGAGCAAGATCCTTTTACTTTTTTTTTTGTCAGAGCTTGCCCATGGCCAGGGGATGAGCTGCCAGTGGGCTGTGTGGCTCCTGAGCTGCAGTAGGCCCCGTTCCTTCCCTCTGTGGCAGCAGCATCCTCTGGAGCTGCCTGGGTGGGCTGCCAGTGGACTGGGTGCTGCCCCAGCCAGTTCAGGGTCAAGGAAGAATTGGATCAGGCTGGGTGCTGCCTCTGAGCTAGGGCAGCACCCAGCCTACTAGCAGCCTGCCGAGGCAGCCCTGGGGGGCACCATCACCATGGAGGGAAGGACCAGGGCCCCCCGCAGCTCACCACCTGGCCACAGGGGGAGGTGGTGGAGGGAACAAGGAACCTGTACAATGTGATACCATTAAGCCACACAAAATGACATTTGTATCACATGTACATGTTAACCATAGAAAATTAGGGTTGGAAGGGACTTCAGGAGGTAATGGCATCATATGTACAAGCATCCAAAAGTTCCACCATCTCTCGTGGCTTTGTGTTCCTCTTTCTTTCCTTTTCTTATAGAAATGATCTGTGGAGACAGTCTTCTCTTTGGAAAATGCTGACAATCAAATTTCCCTTCAATCTGGAGCTATGGCCACTTCTTAGCAAGGAAGAAGCATGGAAGCAGAGGTGCTGGGTGCATGGGGGCCCAAGGGCCCTGGCCCCCTCTGGAAGAGGGCAGTCACCTGAAATGCATAAAACTTTCCACAGGTTCATCATCTTAGGACCCCCCAGCAAAAAGAAAAGTCAGCGCCTAGGCATGGAGTGGAAAGAGAGAGGGGCTAAGCATGATTAAATGAGAAAAAGGCAACATTTTTATTTTGAGTTCTCTGTAAAACTTTACAAATGTACAGCATAGTGCAAAAGGCAGTGTCAGCTCATTAACTTCAAGTAAAGTTAACAAAGTGTAAAAAGCCAAGAAATACAACCACGCTTCCTCATGACAGGAGTTCATAACGTTGTTCCTATGGGTTCCTCTCTTACCATGAATTTCCAATCTAATGTTTATTGTAGAGCAAATGGTCTAAAAAAAAAGGACAGAATCACCCCAAAGTAGCTGCTGATGGTAAGCACAGAATACCGATTGGTAATATGAGAAACCGGAATCTAAAAATTCTTTATAAAGGAGTTAGTTTGGATTCATGCATCCTTTTGGGTTGTATCAAGTAAATATCTATTTGCATGTAGCTATCCCATTCAAGTTCATTTTCTAACCATAGTTAGGTCCTGATTCAACAAAGCACTTAAGCCCATGGATAATTTAAACATGTGATAGTCCCAGCAAAGTCAGGGGGACTTGTCATAGACTTAAAGTATGTGCTTAAATAGCTCACTGATACAGCACTCTAGTATGTCAGGTGCCATAGAAATACATGGGTTTTGGATAAAGATAACATACGTATGTCAGGTGGAATAAGCCTCCAGACAATCTTCAGGTTTCTAATCAGAGATAATAAGTAAACAGAAAAAAATCAAAAAAATAAAGGTCAATACATTGCCAAAAAAACACAAGTTACAGTAGCGAGTGTGATCATTGAAGGACAATTTTCTAAGGACACAAGTATCAAAAGGGGATATGTGATCTAAGAAGCTACCCCAATGTATCTTCTAAACACCAATCCTTGTGGGGCAGCCATGGGTTTCTTGTAGTCCTGAGCATAAAGACACTGATTGTAATTTCATGAAAATGCTGCTACACTATCAGTTCTGAAAGGACTATACCATGTCTGGTAGTGATGGCGTAACCTAACAAAACTTAAAATAGTTGCACCCATTTGTTATTAGTCAAACGGGACAAAATTTGCTGACAAGCACAATGTTTCTGAACTTTTACAGGTCTTCATTTAATGACAAGGGGATGGAAAAAATGCCCTGAGGAGGTAGTCCATTTACATGGGGTATTTTTCCCCATTAAACAGAATTTACTGCAGACTAGCTTAAAATGAATGACAGCTTTGTCTGGGATAGATGTCACTTGACCACTCAAGATGCTCATAAATATAGTTAAATACCATGACTCGTCACAGCAGTGTGAGTGGATAAGGTGCTGTTTTGGCTTATATATCCAGTTTCTGTTTTAGCTAGGAATTTCACCCTCAACTTGCTTGGGTTGGCTGCCATGTAGCTGAGCCAGTAATTTTTCCAAGGAAATAACTTATTTAGAAATATTGAAATAAATAGTACACAGTCAATCTAGGGTTCTCCTTACTAAACCTTGATATAATGCTAGATCTACAGCATAAAAAACAAAGCTCTGCTTTGTTGAGAAACATAGTCTTCAGAAACCACACGGAAGAGGAGACAAACGAAAGGCTGACCAAGCAGGCAGAAAAGACAGAAGAAAAGCTAGCGGACAGAGTGGACCATACATTTCAGACCTTTCCCTACCCAGTGCTGGGATCTGTGCTGAAAGGAACTTCAGGTCCCATTAAAAAACCTGAGTCATCTCATTTGTGCATGTGAATGAGATGACAAGCTGGCTACATTGTATTAAGGGGAATTAGAACAACCTCCTTGTCAATGCCAAGACAAAATTCCCTTGACTGGATGGGTAAGTGAGATGTTGAAACACCCCTGACAACGAAAATGATATTTAGCCCTATGCTCTATTTTATATAATATTCTATAGAGGTTCTTATAATGCCTTGATAATTGTTCATAACTGAGTGCCTTCCAGATGTGCAACGCATGACATAACTAACATCTGTTAAGTGGTTTGTTCTCTCTTTTATCTTTACCTAAGGGGAGAATTGTATGTGCAGTGGAGTGTGTTGGTTTGGTGCTGCTCTGAGTCTCTCTCAGAGAAGGCAGGTTGAAGTCACATGCCATGTGCTTGGACTGGAAGGGGGTGAGGTTGGGTGTGATATTATTTCATTCCTATGAGAATCATGCCTGCAGGCTAGTACAGGCTACTCAGTAAAGCTGTTTCCTGCAAAGACTGACGCTAACTGGAGATTGTACATATTCAGGGTGTCCTGCTTAAAAAGGATAAGGGAAAGATAGGAGCACGTCTCATTATATCAAAAGAAGGAAACTGGTAAAAAGAAAATGCTTTCAGTGGGTGGGCCAGCATACAACTGATTTTCTGCAGTCAAAATTCCCCTCGCATCCATACACTTGCTAGTCCACTTGAAAACCATGGGTCTTCCTTTAGTGAACACCATGGTGAGTTCATAAAACTCATTTATGTTTTAACATACATGACACAACCTTGCCATCTACTCCACTTTTTGATTCTTAAAAGCTTTTCCCAGAGGAATTAACCATGTGAATGCTTAAACAGAATTAATTGCTTTTGTGGATAAAGAAAATAACAAACTTGCTCCTTACATGAGAGAGAAAAGGTTGAATTTTGTTTTTTGGAAGACAACAAACACCTTGTAAATTTTGCACTGGGCAAACACTGGAGAACAGGTGCAGTATGGGCATTGCTAACAACTAAGCTGACGGACTATCCCATCAGTTCAAAAAGAAACAGCCAGGATAACTCTTCCATGGGTTTCTGAGTCACTTTTGTTTCTTTACATTCAAACTTGTAAATCTTTTGTTGGGGGAGGCAGGAAGCACTACTTTCTTGAAAAAGCTAAATCACTCAGTACATTCAGTCAGAGATCTGAGGTTCAATGGAATAGCTCCTTCAAGATGCACAGAAAAGAGAAAGGAAGACATATTTTCAGATGGAACAGAACTTTCAGGTAGGCTTATGGTGTCGTTTCCAAAGCCTGTTGGA